CTTTGCTGGTTGACACTTCTACAGACTCGAGTAGCAGACAAATCCTCCTTCTTTTTGTTCGCTTCCCTGATCGAATGTCGCTACATCCAACAACTCACTTTCTGGAAGCGATAGAGATGGCTGAAGCTGAAACTGGAAGATATATGTTCGAAACAATTTATGCCTTTTTCGCAAGAGAAAACCTTCTTGATGAGTATGCGTTCAATCTTGTAGCATTGGCTACAGATGGAGCTTCAGCCATGAACGCGGAAGGAGGTCTGCGCGGTATACTCAATGCTAATGTTTCAGCAGTTCGTAGAGCCAGCTTTGGAACAACTGCTCCTGAAGAGACTCCAGGTATTATTCCAGATGCACCAGTAATTTGGATACACTGCATGGCCCACAAGATCGAACTCGCTTCATCGGACGCTTTTGCTGAAGCAGATGACACATCTTTAAGATGGAGGAAGTTTGCAACCACGTTTCTAAATAAGCTGCGCGTATTCTTTGCGGCTCCATCAAGAAGAAGGGTTCTGCTGGAGGTAGACAGCACATTGACAAACGAGCACTTCATCAATTTGAAAAGGATTATCGCATTGAGGTGGACTTCATCTGAAGAGAGTTAGTGCTCAATAATTTGATTCTAAATGCCATATAATGCTCTCAATTGTAGATGCTATCCACAGCTTCTAAGATGTACAAACACGTTTGGATTGCACTTGAACAGCTCTCACTGCTTCATGGAACTCGCAAGGATCGATTAAAAGCAGCAGCGTTCCTGTACGTATTAAATTCCCTGAAGTTCTACAGGAACATGGTATTTCAGCTGAAAATCCTGAGTGAGATCAGTGAGCTATCAAAGAAAGCTCAGGTACGCGTAGCCATTTGCCATTGCATGTTGATTTGCGTGATTTCCAGTTCAGGAGGAGGCATCAACAATATGGAAGGCACAAAAGAGAATATTTTGCTCCAAGGTTTAAATCGCATGGCTATAGATCCTAGCGCGAACCCAAAGCTCGCCGTTCTGTGGAATCAGTACTTTGCAAGTGCAGCCGAATCGGGACATTTTCGCCTCAATGCATTTGGATCAGAAAGCTGCAAAAAATGGTACAATTTTGCTTGTACAGCTCCTACTAAAGTTTATACAATGTATACATTTTCTAGGTTTTGGGATGGCTGGCAGTTTGAAGGAATATTCCA